CAAAACATACAGAAAACAAGAAATGGAAGATCATTTGCTAATAATAACATGTTTGTTGATGTGCTTGATTGAGACAATATACAGTGTACTCTGGATGGAAAATCTCATTTTGTATGCTGTAATGATGTACAGTGAATGAATGCAAATAAATAAATTGGAAAAAAAAAAAGAAAAAAAGAAGGCCTGCTAGGGAGCTGGTCCCCTACCCCAGTGGGTGAGGGGAGCCAGATCACACATGGCTGACTATGGTTCCAATCACAGCCCCAACCTGTGTGCCCCAAATCTGTTAAGATGGAGAAATGGAGAAAGCACTGCAGTATGACCATACCTCATGGGGGCGGTGCTTTTTTTCTAGCTCTATCTCTGTCTCTCTGTCTCTGGCAAATGCATATGTCCTCTAGTAACTGGAAAAAAAAATCCCCTACATCTGCTAGTGGTGGGGGACAGTGAGCATGGCTATGGTAAGAAGCAGGAACATAGGGGTCAGCTGGTAATATGGTAGATAGGATGCTGGACTCCCTCATGGCCAACCACGGTTTGAGTCCCAAACCTGGCAGCTTGCTTTCTCATTTTACTGCTCTCTCTCTTTCTGGTGAGTGTACATGTCCTATACAAAATTTAAAAATAATAATAAATAGTTTTTTTTTTTGAGAGGTTTTTCGCTATAGGGTGCATGCACTCGCCAGACAGACAGAGAGACATAGAGACAGAAAGCAAGAAATCACCCCCCAGGGGGGACGGTCACGCTGCAATCCCTTCTCCTCCATTCTCCTCTCGGGATGTTGGGCACGCATGCACATGCGCCCGGTGTGAGTTTTAAGCCACCGGGTCCAGGACGCGAACCGTGGTTGACTACGTGGGAGTCCAGCGACATAGCCATTATGCTAACTGCTGGTTCCCAATAATAGATAGTTTTTTAAAAAGCAAGAGCAGGGGCTGGCAGATGGCATAGTGGTTAAGGGCACTAGACTCCCATATGGCCGACCATGGTTTGAACCCTGAACCTGGTGACTTACTTTCTCTCTCTCTCTCTCATTCTAAACCTTTCTGGTCAAATTAAGAAAAATAAATAAAGTCAAATAAAATAATTCTTAAAAAATAAAAAGGAAGCAAGAACACAGACGGGCCAATAGATGGCATGGTGATTAAGGTGCTGGTCTCCCACATAGCCAACTGTGCTATTCAAGTCCCAGACCCGGCAACTTGAAAATAACACTGGGCACTTGTTGCCTGCATGCCCAAAATCCTAAGAGGAGAATGGAGAAGGGATTGTGGTGTGGCCATCCGCTTGTGGGATGATTTCTCATTTTCCCTCTGTCTCTCTGCCCAGAAAGTGCACCCACCCTATGGCAAAAATCTAAAAAAAGCAGCAGCAGCAGGAACATAGATAGTGCTAAAAACATCTAGCTTCAGGTCAAATTCAGTTTCTCCCTCTTGGGAAGCCTCAGGAAATCAGTGTTCTTCCTCTTTGTTCTCAGGGATCTCTCTTTAAAAAAAAAAAAAAGAATTATTTAATTTACATTTATTCATTCATTTATTTTAAGTTGACTAGAGAGAGGCAGAGAGAGAAAGAAGGAAAGTAATAAAGTAAGCCACCGGGTCCGGGACTCGAACTGTGGTTAGTCATGTGAGAATGTCCAGCACCTTAACCACCACACCATCTGCTGGTCCCTCAGGGATCTCTTTCATGACAAAGACATCCAACATGGATGTCTTTAAACTACCCACCTTGATCCCCCACCTTGCTCTAGTCCCACTCTGTTGGCAAAGAGTCATTAAATCGTTATTGATCTACATTTCTTTGAGCCACAGTTTGTACTATTAGACACACTGAGCACTTCCTGGCCTCATACTTTTGCATCTGCTGCTCATCTGGCCTGAAATGTTTTCATTTTCTCTCTTCATCTGTGTGAACTCTACTGTTCCTATATAGGTATTGCTTAGCATGATAGTTTGGTAAGCTAATAATGTACAGGAAGGCCCACTCCATGGAGAAGGAAGGGATTGCCTTCTGTGGTAGTGTGGTACTGTATTGCTCAAGTGACCCCACATGATAACCTCAGTTCAGATTTCAACCTGAGATATGC